TCTTAGGCTTATTAGAGAACCTGTCTTAGCCTTCTATAAAGAGCGCCTCTTACTAAAATAAGAAAGCTAAGACAGCTGCTAAGAGCATTAGCTTACCTGCTCTAGTAAAGAAGACGCCTATAGCAAAGACTACCTAACTTAAGGTAAAGAAGAAAAACCTTAACTACTTCTCTATAAATAGTACTCTAACTATATCTACTAAGCTCTAGAATAGCCTTGTTGTTACTATAAACCTAGTAATACTTTTACATAATAGCTCTAATCTATATTTACTTCTTAATTAAGTACTAGCTAGTGCCTATAGTAATAGTTTTCTGCACTCTATGCTAGCTTCTAAGCCTTTTATTAATACTAAAAAAGAAAGTATTAAGTTTACCTATAATCTTCTATATAGAAATAGAGACATAACTAAGAACTAGATTAATATAGTAGTAAAGAACCTTTAGACTCTTAATAGTATCTCCGCTAGATAAGCTCTATCTATGCCTAGTTTTAATAATACTATTAATAACAAGACTAGCGAAGGCTCTAGCGTAGCAACTAACTAAGTTAAACATCTTAACTAGGTAGACAACGCTACTACTTAACCTTAGCGATGTTATATTTTTATTATAGATACTTTACTAAGAGTTACTCTACTAGTCTTAACTCTGTTATTATGCTTTACAACTTTCTTATTACTTATATTACCTACTTAGTAATATCTCTAAAAAGTTTTTCTTTAAGCCGCGCTACTCTAGTATAATACTAGCTCTAGCATATATTATATTACTTTGCAGCCTTTTTTTAATACTATTTTTTCTAGTAATATTATCTTTTTAAAGTATTTATATACCTCTACAAAACTTCTTATAACACACTTGCCTAGAATAAAAGTAATATTCTTTCTACTCTTTGCCTAAGTATACACTCTAGTATCTACTCTCTTTTTATAGTAGTTTCTTATTATAGTCTACTTATAATACAAACACTAGCGTTATAGTTACTAGGCTTACTTCTTTAATAGCGCAATTCTATGTATAATATTTTCTTTTATATATTTGCGCAGGCACAGTAATAGACTATAGATATTTTTTTCTTTTAGTAAGCAGTACTATAGCTTATTACTCTTTTTTCTATAATAACCTTCTTTAAACTTGCCTAACTAAGCTTTATCTTTTTTTTCTTACTATTTTTGTAAAGACTTCTCTGCTATAGGCTGTATTATTTACTAGAGTCTACTAGAGAAGCAAGAAGTAATAGCGAAGGACTAGAGGGGATTAAGTTTAGGTAGTTAACTCTTTTTAGCCTACGTTAGCAATAGTGCAGCTGTTACATAACTATAGATAGTCTGTGCTAGGTTATATATAGCCCTTACCTTCTTCTAGATTAGTTAGGTAGACCTTATATACGATTCACATCCGTTCATACCTCACATCTAAGTCCACGCGTACTGACGGCACATCTTGTGGTGGCATAGCGATCACAAGGTAGTTTCTCACTAACTATCAGCCCCCAAGAGCAAGGGCAGACGAATACATATACGCTACATCTTACTGTTTGGGTGCGAGTCATCTCGTGTAGCAGTTGCGCTTTGCCATGCGCACGCGTTCCTGAAAATGACGTGTGCAGGTGGGTAGCAAACACCAAATCCCATGAGATGTCGTCAACTCCTATAGTCAATGAAGATAGCACAATGATGCCTGCGGTGTCGTTCAATCTCGCGCTGGGTTGATGTATGGTGTTGGGTGGTAGTCAGGATGTTGTTGTGGTAGTCGCGATCGCACCAGAACCCGGGCAGGAGGGTCCGCGGAAGTCTCACGTGACGGCGCGACAAGCGATTTGTGGCTTCGGCGCGCAAAGCCGTCGCAATTGGCTGGGAAGTGTTGGCGCAAGCAGGATCTGACGCAGGGTGATCCAGTCAAATAAGGGAAATATGCGAGGAAGAAACAAGTATGGGCGGGTTGAGTTGGTCAACTGGGAGGAGCAAGGTTCCAGGTACGAGGTTGAGATGAGGTCAAATTGGGCAGTCAGGCGTTGCGCCTCCCGCGGAGCGTTGCGGATGGCTTTTGGCGGCATCGCGATGCTGAACAGGAAAGGCGATGCATTGCGACAACATTGATCAGAAAAAGAGCCTTGCGGAGAGATCGGCCGAAAATTGAGTGTCGTGATGTTGCGCGGTGCGGGCGGTGGTGTTGAGGTTCAGCCTCCTATTATTGGGCCCCAGCCCCCATAACAAGATGAATAATTGCATCATGGCGTCGTAGTCAACCAGCGCACTACTGTGTCAAATCCCCAAGCGCGCCCTGCTTTTCCCACCTCTCTTACCTGGGACGGATTTTCGGCACCCTTCAATTGCTTGACTGTCTTGTTCCTTCTCGAGCATTGTGTTGCGTGTTGCTGCACACCAAATTGATCTACCTCCACCCCACAACTAGCGCCGGCATCGTCGGTTCCAGGCCAGGAACTGCTGTTCCCCCAGACGACGGCCCCCCAAACACGCCAAATACCAACACCACCCTTTCGTCGTCAGCGCGCATTCTCGCGGCCAGTGTCGCATACTGCTCGACTTCACCATGCCGGCCGTACGCGATCCCCTCAGCTTCCTCGCCAACGTGGCGCCCCGCGACTCCAGCCTCAGCGCCCGACAGCCTGCCTTCGACGTGCCAGCGATTGTCTTCGATGCGCCCAAGACAGCCCCCATTGCCAAGCGACAGAACGTTATATATGCCCAGCAGGGTATAATACCCACCTACTACAACACCGACGGTCCCGAGCCCGGTACCGTTGTCGGCATCGTGCTAGGCAGCGTCGCCGGCTTTCTCCTGATCTGCTGGCTCATCCAGTCCCTGATGAACACCAACAACAAGACAGGCACGACCACAGCCATGGCTGGAGAGGAAGAGATTGTAGTGCGCAGGTCACGACGCAATTCACACGGCGGACGCTCGTCGCGACGCCGATCGGAAGTCCGCGAGATTAGCAGGAGCCCGAGGCGGAACAGTGGACGCTCGCAGATCATTGTCGAGGAGAGGAGGGGTGCGCCACCGAGAGCGAGGAGCATCATTGTGGAGGGACGGCAACGTGTTCCAGGCGATGATGTCGTCGAAGTCATTGAGGAACACGACGAGTACCGCGAGAGGAGAGGCGCCCGGAGAGGCCCGGGATACCGGTGAGTGCTTGAAATATCCTCTTTTGAAGATGTAGATTTACTAATGCACCCAGGTGAACAGATACTGAACAGTAACTCCATCGCGCTCCACACCCTCCGTCAAACACCCAACAACCCACCAACATCCTTACGTGCGACCACTACCCACCGTCGCACCACAGATACCCCCAGAATACCCCTTTGCTTTCTTCGCGTTCTTGTTTTGCAGTAATTTCACCGATCTATCTTCTTCTCTGTACCATAATACGGGCTCTTCTCAACACTTGGCGTTCAAGCGGCAGCATTGAAGGCGACGGCATCCAGTTTGACAGTGGAGGAATGGGAAAAGGGAGATATAACGCATGACGCATCATGTATAGCGAGACGCGCCTCTGATTTGGACGTATGGGAAATGATTGCAGATATCTTTGCTTGCAGATGAATAGTCAATATATGATCCATGAGATCGAATTATCAGTAGCCGGCTGGATCTCACCGTGAAGACGGGGTCGCTCTTTCCTCGCTCACCTTTGAACAGCAGCCCCACTTTTAGTTGGACTACTGTAAACAAAGCGCGACACTCACTCCACCTCCACACTCTACTACCTCACCTTCAAGGTTTGTCTACAAGCGCAAACCGCCCTTTCACAATCAAGCTCCCGGGTCAACTGCCGTCTGCCACTCGCAGCAAAGGTAAGCATTAGCTAGGCCGTCCGCTCGAGAAGCTCAACTAACATGTCAATAGATGGCTGCGTTGGGACACTTCAGGCTGCTTGATCTCCCGAGAGAGCTGCGCGACATCATCTACGAGTACGCACTCACCGAGCAATCTGGGCTCATTCTCACGGAACCCTCTCCCTCTCGTCTCCGTGCAACAGACAATCCGCGAGGCCCCGATCCGAATCCACTCAAGTTCGTTTGTCGTCAGCTGTACGCCGAGACTAGGGGCCTCGGTTTGAGACACAACAAGATAATTTTCCCCGGTCCATTCAGCTACGAACTGTTCGACAAGTTTACTAAGAAGTACTGTTCGGCTGCGAATTTTGGACAAGTTCGACGTGTCGCGATCTTGCAGACGGCACCTAGCAGACTGCTCAACGAATTGCAGGGGGCAGATACGATCAGCAAGAAATATCCAGCCCTGTCCGTGGAGGTGCGACTTGATTGGCTTTCCGACCAACAGAGTTTCCAGGGTTGGTGTTGGTGGGGCAGCGTGGTTCAGCGTGCAATAAGAGGCACGTTTCCTGTTCTTGCCAGTGCAAAGCTCAGGGATAGCGCGAGCCGCGCGGCACATTATCGCAGTGCCTTTCGAGGTGGCTTTTGGGCGGATTCGACGGCTGTACAAGTGTTTCCTAGGAGTTTCGACGAGGATGAACTCAGGCGCACTGCTCCGTACTCTGACATTGATGATGTCGATGGTTGGGTTGCGCAGTGTAAACAGTGGTACGAGGAGGGTTTCTGAGTCGTTGTCAACGCTTCTTGGATCACACAGCGCGTCCATCAGTGAGGCGGCGAAAATGTTTAGCTTGAGCTTGTCTTTCAGAAAACATTCCAGCGACTCCGGCTGCAAGAGTAGATAAGCAGCCATGTCCAGGTTCTCATGGCTTTCGCGATGATGGTCGCCGAGTCTAAGAATTGATCAGGGCTCATACTACACAATCCACTCGATACTTCTGCTTGATTTGACGTCTTCACTCCATTCGCTGTGACGTCACATATGCAGTCGCTCCTTCCATATGAGTCTCTGTGACCCGCCAAGCCTTGAAGCAAACGGACTAGTCCCTGCTAGACAACAACACCGAGACTTTACTCACCTCTCCGCTTCTGCTTACCCTCACACTGCTGACTGTTCCCGTTATCAACACTCAGTATGCGCCTCACACCCACACAGCCACCCGCCACGGGCGACTCGGCACCACCATCGGCTCCAAATTATCTGCTCGCTCTACCGAGAGAACTCCGCGATATCATCTATGAGTATGCACTCACTGAGGATAACGGCCTGCTCTTGTTCGAGCGTCGCACACTAGGGGAACCCTACTCCTCCCGGAGGATTTTCGAAGGACGCCGTCCGACTGACCCCGATGTCGAATCCAATCGCCTGAAATACGTCTGTCGCCAGCTATACCACGAAACTAAGGGTCTGGGCCTGAAACTGAACGTTCTCGCTATGCAGTCCAAGCGGCAGGTCGAAGGCTTCGTTGCGTTTGTCGATACGTGTTCGGCCCGTCAGCAGCAGTGTATTCGGAAAGTCACACTGAGTGATGCGTTGTTGGGTTGTTCCCAATATATGGGCACTTGGGACAAGGCCGCCGAGATATTTAGACCATACGGCGCGTCACATCCTTGCATGACGATTGACTTATATGTCAATGCCCTCAGCAAAACCAGATCCACCGCTCACTGGTTCATTTTGGTTGGAAACATTCTGTATGCTAGGCACATGCACGCAAACCATGCTGTTGTCCCTGGGAATCTGCGCCAGATCACCGTCCGCATAAACGATGATCGGGTAAATCCGATCCCCAGTCATATTCGCATGTTTCCCGGTGTAGAACCCGGCCACGTTATTCATCCTGTCTTCGATGAGGACTCCTTACAGAGATATGGTGAAGAACATCTCAAAATATGCGCCCGAGAGTTCGAGAAATGGCAACGCGAGGGCATCTAGAGACATTGGGTCGCGCTGGTGAAGTGCTAGTTCTCGATCGGAGAGGGTGGACGCTGATGTCGTTGCGAAGGGTGCATCCACTACTACAGGTATGCCCTCCAGAAAGTTCTTGGAGTTACGAACTCGTTTGCTGACTACATAGACTCCGTTGTGTATCATAGCGGCCTGGAACTTGCGCTGTAGGGTGTAAACATCACTTGGATCCTGCTTTTGCAACATGGTGATCTGGATGAACTACCTGGGATGGGAGGCCGGTGGCATCAAAGTGTCGGGAATATTTGCGGCATTAGGGAGACGAAGTAGTCGAAGGTCTGGGCTGAGATACGAGAATAAAACGAAAAGCATTCACGCACCATGAGAAGACTGCAAGTGATTTGATGATAATGTATTGAAGGCATGCACTATACTGGCATCCTATTTCCTGTCCTACATGCGGACACTCATACTGAATTACAACTGATAAAACTTTAGGCCGTCACAGTCCACTCCAAACGTGAACACGATATCTCCTCCGTCATAGCCTCATTCACACAACCAGCCATCTAGACCTGGTTCTCATTGCGCTCAGCAGGCTCCAAAATACCACCGTGGGTACCAGCCTGCTCCGCCTTGCTGAAGTTGCGACCACCAGGACCCATGTGCAGCCTGTCGGTGTCAACAAGACCGTCCTTAGCCAAGCTCGACGCATCCCACTTGGCGCTGGTAATAGGGTTGACATGAATCATGTACATGGTGTCGATCTCCTCGAGCGAGCGGCCCTTGGTCTCAATCATGAAGAAGTAGACGACGAAGAAGAGCAGGACGAGGGAGACAGCGAAGACGAGACCGTAGAAGTAGTCGATGCGGTCGGTGATGAGGGTAGAGCAGAAGGAGATGATGAAGTTGAAGAGCCAGTTGGACGCGGTGGCGAGACCCATGCAGGTAGCGCGGTAGCGGGCAGGGTACAACTCTCCGACGATGGCCCAGACGAGGGGGCCCCAGGTGGTGGCGAACGCGGCAATGAACAGGCAGGTGAAGACAATCATGACGTTTCCGGCAGCGGGCGTGCTCTGGGGAAGGTTCTGGTCGAGGGCGTAGTGACCGACGAAGGAGTAGATGAAGAGGCACATGGCCATCCAGGCAGCACCGACCATCATGGCCTTTCTGCGGCCGACGTTCTCGACGACCCAGAGACCGAAGATGGTAGCAACGACGTTGACGGTTCCGAGGATGATGGAGGTGACGTATGAGTTGGAGAGGCCGGTGGCGGAGAAGATGGTTGTGCCGTAGTAGAAGAAGTAGTTAGCACCTGTCAACTGCTGACCGGCCTGGAGGACCATACCAAGCAGAGTGCGGTACAGCATGCGGGGGCCGGTGAAGATCTCGTGCCATGGGTGGTCGCCGCCAGCAGACTCAGCCTCGAGCTTCTCCTGGATCTCAGCAATCTCGGCGTCGATGAAGGCGCTGTGCGGGTCAACACCGTTGAGACGGGCCATGTTCATGCGAGCCTCGTCGACCTTGCCCTTGCGGTATGCGTAGCGGGGGGACTCGGGGAGGAGGAGGATGGTGCTACCAAGGATGATGGCCCAGAGTGCGGAAAGACCGTTCGGAATGCGCCATTGGGCGCTGTTGACGTAGTCCTTCTCTGTGCCGTAGTTGACCATGTATGCGGTCCAGATACCGAGGGTGATGAACAGTTGGTAAGAGGAGACAGTGGCACCACGAATGCGCTTGGGGATCGATTCGGATTGGTACATGGGAACGACGGTGGAGAGAGCTCCGATACCGAGACCGGCAGTGAAGCGACCCATGGCGAATTGAACCCAGACGTTCTTGCTGGTGATTTCGATAATGACACCGATGATGTAGAAAAAGGCGGAACCGGAGATAGTAAGACGACGACCGAAGGTGTCAGCGAGAGGAGCTGAGCCTAAGCATCCGAAGAGAGTACCGACACTGGGAGATTGTTAGACGCGTTCATCGCGTTGCGGAGGAAAGGACTTACGCAAGAAGACCGACAATGGCACCAGAGCGGACAGCAGAGAACTCGTTGTTCTCACCGCCGAAACGCGCCTTGAAGTCGTCCATCTCTAGGAAACCAGAGATCTGTCCAGACTCATATCCGAACATGAATCCACCGATACTGGCACAAGCACCGAGGATAACGGCAATGGCAGGCACGCGGCCCTTGGGCTCGAGATCCGCAGCCTGGACGGTCTCAGAATTTCCCCTGGGGGGTGTGTCCGCAGGAGTGGCGGTGTTGGGTGTTCCCTTCTCGTGGATCTCCTCCTCGGTCGCCTTCTTCTTGAAGAAACGCGACATGACCGTCATGTTGGGCGCGTGGTAATTAGGAATCAATAGAGAAAAGCAAAAGGGTATCGAGCAAAAGTCGAGCTGGTCTGCAGCGCGGGGTATACGTCTCAAATAAAGCGAGCTGGAGAGAAGCTGGAGAAGAGGAGACCAGTGTGGGCTGTGAGGAGAAGGCTGCGCCGTATAAATAGCAGAAAATGCATGCGGAGACGGGTTCGTAGGGTCTATTGACAGTGGAGCCCCAGTGTCAGTCTCATCCGCATATCCATCCGACTAACATTTTCCAGAACGCCCTAGCCATGGAGGCGAAAGGAGATATGCTCGCACGAGCGCCCTGACAACGGAGGTATGATGACATCGCATCGTGGAGCTGGAGCTGGCAATGGGGCAGCCTGTCACGAGCACGCTCGAGCCGGAGAGCTGCCGGTCGTGAATTTTCTTCATCGCGTAGTATCGGAATGGTTGCTGGACACGCCGAGAAGCACAGACAGTTGATAGTGCAACGATCGGCCCACTGCAGCTGTTGCAAGTATACCACCCTTCCGGTTCTGGTGGATTGCCCCTTGGGGTCGTATACGGGGTCGCATAGTTTGTGATCTTGCCCCAGTGCCTCCAGTATCGCGTGCTGCAACGGTTTCCCCTTACACAGCCATTGTGGATGGTGATGATGGGGTGCGCTTCAGTATCGGCGAACTGCTCCATCCGAGTATCCAATGTTAGACTTCATCCAGCCGGCCTATGAGATAGCTTGGAGCTACCCGGGATGTTTCCTTATGCAGGGGCATAGACGCGTCTATAGTGCAGACGAGGCTGACAAGTGCCTCATATCGTTGGACAATATGCAAGACGTGTACGCACGGACGTGACGGTACTCGCTAGCTTCCGCAGAGCCTCAAGTCGCGTTGGATCGTTCACACCGGTGACAAGTCCATCTGGTCGCCATTGGAGGGTAGCCGGAACGAAAAGGTTGTTCTCCAGCTAGGGCAGCACGTTGTTCGTCCTAGTAGCCGGTAACTGGTGCGCCAGAGCTTCTGCATTAGAAAACCGGGGGTGACAGTTCCTGCGGGATATCCAAATTCTTCGCGGAGCGCGGTAAATCGAGACTTGCGACGTCAGATGTCCACCTCTACGTCACCGTGATTTTTCATCGCTGGCAGCGCATCTCGGTGTCGGCGGTACGAACTTGGCAGGTTTCCCAGCAAACGCCGGTCTTGGCCGACGCGCGATAAAAACCTCATCTCCGACTCCGAGGTTGCAGCGCTAGCGGCCCGCTGGGTGCATCAAAGCGTGAAAATCCTGAGCCAAGAGTCCTGAAGTTTCTGAGAAATACGGGTCCGTGTGGAGCAATGCGAGAGCATCGTGAGATGAGCAATGTGACAGGTGCCGACATCCAGGTCACGCTTTCGCGTCGAGATTGTGAGACCGGGTGATGTTCGGGAGACCGAGGGGTTACCGGATGTTGGGAACGGCAGTATGTGGGATGACGGTTGTGGTGCGCATGTGGGGAGACACGTTGATGGAGTCTCCAGACACGTCTACGATGGTTAGCCTTGACTCCGTGCTATAGTAGACAGGTACCCCGTGGGTGGTGTGAGTATGGGGTGCCGACCGCAAACAGAAAGATGCGTGATGCGACGAAATAAGCAAATATACGTACCGGTATCAACCATTCGATTGAGCGCAATATTGCAAAAGAGCCATTCCTCTTAAGCTTGGTAGCAACATGTCGCCGTCGTTCTGAAAAGAGCCAAACAGACATTGCACCCCGTGGGGAGCGCGACCTCTTATACAAATTACTTCGGACGGCTTTCCTCCGGCTGTGGAGATGCTTCGACCCCAGAGAGACGCCGATCCACCAATGAATGATGTAGTCCCGTGATGAACGAGCCGACTGCCGTTTCTTTTGCCTAATGTATCGCCTCTGTTGAGCCTCCTTTCATCCTCTGCCTGAGTCGAGAAGCGCGAAAGCTTCCCGCATGGCGGATGGCATCCTGCTTTGGGAAAGGTTCAGGCCACCTCCGCGAAGCGCGATGCTGCTGTGGTGAATGTCGCATTGGAGCTGTAAGGACGGTAACATTCGTACAAGACTTTTAAGAAGGCAAAAGCAGTAGCAGCACATCTCTCACAGTTCCGTGTCTTGTTGTGCCTTCGCAATGGCTTCTGCAGAGCGTGTGCTGGCTGTTTCCTTTCGGATGGGGCGGAATGGGGTGTGGAGAAGGAGCTCTGGGGTAATGCGGATTAGTTATCGCCAAGCCCCGCTAGCCACCAGAAAGGACATGACAGCGTGCGTTCCTTGACACATCCTTTGTCATACCAAAACCGACAACATACACCATGTTCTTCTCGCACGAATCATGCAACCAGTGTGCTCCTAACTGCTGCGTCGAGCATTTCTGCTTCATTACAATACTGGCCATGTGCAGTCTTCCCTGGTGTACGGCAGCCAATCTCTCAGACTGAGTCGCGCTACATGTGCAACATCTAACAACAAACTGACACCACAGACTTGGACACTGTCCACGCAGTTTACGATCGTCGTCCGATTGAACGTGTAATGACCTCAGTGTGCTGTATTAAAGAGTCAAGAGAGCTTGCTACATTATCATGTGTAGGTAGTGTATGCGCAGCTGAGGCGCCGGCAAATCTGTTCTAATTCATTCCATCCTTTCTTGCCTCGAGATTTTCTTCAACCGCGCAAGTACCTCGTCTCGTTGATAGCAAGCTGCAAGTTTTAGCACTGCTCAAAACACCAGTCAACGCCCACTCAAATACCACGTTCGAACCAGCCACGAATCTGCGCTACCCGGTCTTCAAACCCTTCCATCCTTTTCATGCGAGAGTGTCTGATGGGTGTCTCATCATAATCTTCGTCTGGGAAGATTTTCAAGTTAGGAGGGAAACGGCTGCCCTCCTCGAAAGTCTCGCAGCGTGTTTCATGTTTTATCATAGCCACCTTCTTGTTGACCCTATTTGTGAACCAGTCATCAACCTTGAACGATACCCGCTTTCCTCGCAAGTACAGCTGTAATGCAGCCCCAAAGATGAGGAGATCGCGAGGCTTTTCTCCAATTTTCATGGACTTGGTGAGGAAAGCCACATCGACTTCGGGATGTCTGATGCAAAATGCAACGAAACAGCGGAAATTGTGACCAAAGTGGATGAAGTCGCAGGTTCCGCGTTGATCTGCGTGAACTATCAGGCAGATAGGCGTAGAGGTGGGTATAAGGCTTTTGTGTAAAGAGAACACGCAGTTCCATGCCGATCCCATGTCTGCCGTCTCGAGACGAAGCTGCCGACAAGTTTGCGCAAGTTCGTTGACATGATGGATTTGCCTGTACTTCGCCTTGCGAGCCAGCTGCAAAGGCTGACCGGCAACTTGAAGCGGTCTTGTCTCCATTAGCGCGTACTTGTATATCTTGTTGCGTATCTCGCCAGGTAGTCGAAGAAGCGGGCTCTGGAGCTGAGGCCGGATCGGTGCTGGCACTGGCAACATTGTTAGTGACATAGAAGTGCCTGAAATAGGTGACATTACCCGCGCCGTCGCCCTCAGCACTTGCATTCGCCGTCGGCTGAGCCATGCTGTTGATCACTGTCGCTGACTACCGCTGTCGGGATGTCGGAATGAAGAGTATGGAGATTGCTAGAGCAAAATCGTGTGGAGCAGGCAAGAGCAAACGCGCAGGCTAAGCGAGGGCTCAGCGCACTGACATGAAGTGAAGGTAAGTTGACGTTCGGAATCTCTAGCACAGTCGCGTTTGTGTGATGACATGTATGTGTGTATGCCCCGGCTTGCAGTGTAAACATGCAAGGATACGTTGTGTTCGTAGTCTGATGTCGTTCCTTAGCATGTGATGTTCGCTATATGCATTCTGAAATTGGAAAGACATGTCAATTTGATGTATGTATGGAGGAAGTTCTCATATTGATCAAGCTATGTACCTGCAGTCTACACTGCAAATTCCCTCATCGTGTTGCGGCATTGCCAGCGGTGTAAGATGGATTGGCGTCGCTCAGCTTCGAGAATCTCATGGCTCTTTGGCTTTGTAGCAATGGCGCTGTGTGATGGCAACGGCCGAGAGGGTGCTTGTGCTGCGTCATCGATCACGTGATCAGTGCACTAGCGCCTTGGCTCAACGAAGGCGACCTCCGACTCTCAGCGCGACACCGACATCCTTGACCTCAGCATCAACATCCCACACCGCTGCGAACGACCATGAAAACCACCATGGCAAGTCATCCGCAGCAGCAATTCCGCCAAGGCCTTGGCAACGGTGGTGATGGCCCGCCCGATGAGCGGCAACATGATACTCCACAACGTGGACACTACGCGGAGAGTCTCCGCCCGATCGTAGTGCGCGACTACCAGAAGTCGGCTGACGGTGTGCGCTTTGGTGAACACCAAGAGCCTGGCTATCATGCCGGCTATCAAAACAGCAGCTACAGCGCTGAGTATGGCCGTGTACCTGAGACATACGGCTCTCGAGGCAGTTTCGCTAACTCTGGGTATACCCACGACTATAGGCACCCAGTACAGAATGGTCCTGGCCACAGGACTATTGAACGTAAGGAAACTCCGTTCAGGAAGTCATCCCCATTCCACGGCAGCCATCGTGGTCGAGCGCGTACGAGGCCTCGCCACGCGCGTGAGGCGCCAAGCCGAGAATCGGCCAGCGAGCGCATGGCCAAGATACTCGCACAGCGCAAGGCAGAGTCGGGGTTTCCATCTGCTCCAGTGGGTCAATCACCCACACCGCCCACGCCAGCACAAGGTGCTCAGGGCCAAGTACAGCCGGATCTGGAACGCAAGTTCCAAGAGCAAGAGCAGCGATTTCAAGCTGTTATGACGATAACGCAGCAACAGGCGGCTGTTATCGTGGCAATGCAGCAAGAACATGACCAGCTGAGGCGCGACCATGACACGCTGGTAGATCAGCTGAATGAGGCGGCGCGAAACGGTGCGTTTCCTGCTTTCGCCCCTGCACCACGTGCCCACATAGAGACGGCGGCTGAGCCGCTTAGACCAAATATCTCGCAGTCCTCACAGGGTCATGCAGGTGAGTATCACAGCATTCACATGCTATCAAGCCAAGAAGCCGGGTCGCTGCAGTCAGCACCTGGTATTGGACAACAAATGGCCCCCTCGGGCTTTGGGAACGGTCTCACTCCAACGGGAGAGATCTCTTCCTCATTCCAGCCGTCTTCCAACGGCACGCGTCGCAATGGCGGCTTTACTCAGCCGCCGGGACCGAAGAACTGAAGAGGAATGGGTGGGAAGGGTTGAACGGAGGAGGCGGAAGCTTTAGCGCAGACAGTTGTTCTGCTACGTAGTTAGTATGAATGCAGAGAATTTCGGGAAATAATCATTGTTCGCTCTAGGCACTTGCGATGTTTGCATGGTGGGTAACGTCTCATGTATATCAATAATCTCAGTCCTATAGCTTCCATCACGAAAGCCACCATCCCTCTAACCACGCTCCTCCCCCAAGCTCCACCTCAATATCCCCATCGCCCGCCTCACGTCCGCCCCAAAAACCAAATATCATACCTCCCCGTATAATTAGCCCCCGTCCTCGTAAGCAGCGGCCTCGGAAACTCCAACCCAACCCACTGCTGCCAATTGCTCCACCTCACCCCACACCCCAACCTAAACACGAAATTCACGGGAAACGGCTGCGGCTCAAACGCATGATCCGACCACGTCTCAGCCATCTCGTCCAGAACCCTGTCGATGTTGTACCACGCGCTGTAGTATCCGGAGGTGGAGTCTACCCGCTTGCGAGCTATCTCGTAGGAGAAGCCCGCAATGGGGAATTTTGATACGTCGTTGGAGACCTTCGGGTCTACGGCATGGAGGAAGGTTTGGATAGAGGTGGAAGGGTGGTGGGTGGCGAATGTTACGAGCTGGGACATACAAGGGTCGAAGAGGTGCGGCGAGAAAGGACACTGTCTGTATGCGATGCGCTCGTGGACGTGGATGCGGCGGATGTGCTTGAGTTGCTCGGGTTTGGCGTCGGCAAGGTACTCTGCACATATGCTAGAAGCGGATTCGGGGGTGTCTTTGCGGAGGGGAAAGATTAGTTCTGGACAGCGGGTTGGTGGTAGAGCTGATGTTTCTTCGTGGAGTTGTTTGCAGACGAATTTCATTTGGTTTAGGTCTATCCGTAGTTTTTGGGTCGGATCCTCGAGGATTAGACGCTGGTGTAAGACTCCGTTCTTGAGGTATGGTGCAATGAGGATAGGCTCATCCGTTTCGAGAACGTGAGCATAGATGATGTTTCGGAGCTCGCCTGGCAGTGAGAATAGCCGGAACGGCCCTGGTAACTCATCGTGGGAGTTCGTGGGTTGGTCTGATGAAGAAGTTTCGGTGTTGGTCGCTGGTGACACTGCGACATTCGACCGGAAGGGCGTATGTTGGTCTGGAAAGCTCACGGAAATAGGATAGCCGGCATACTCAAACAATGAGGTCAGCACGGGCCGGAATACACGCAGTAGTAGAGAGCTCATGGCTGCCAGATGTTGAAGTGGTGGGTTGAGAGAGAATATGTTTCGTCTTGGTGAACATAAGGGATTATGAACCTCTGGGGGTGCTCCGTAGAAAGCACCCAAGCCTTCTTCTTTGCGCACGAGCTCTGGAAAGGTCGGCGTACTTCTAGGCGGCAACAAATGATCGATGTCAGCGTCCGTTCACTGCATTCACATCACCAAATCACCAGGATTCACTCCCTCCTCATTCGCCACAATCCCAACCTCCCTCTTGAACCGTGACAACCAGTTCGGGAAATCTGCAGGAGTCTGGTTCCACGGGTCGTCGCCATCATACATAATCCATCGCGCCTGATGCTGGATCTCCTCATCGGAAGGAATATGGCAATTTGGATTCTTTGGTGAAAGCGTCGATGCCGCCCATCTCCGCATGTCGCTGTCAAAGATCCGGTAGAAGTTGGTGTCGTCGGGTAGCAGCGATCGCAACCGACCGTACATGTCCGTTTGCGCTGTAGATTCGGGTGAGACTATGGGTTCTTCCGAGAAAGTGGGAAGCGTAGTGAAGTAGTCGTGGGTTTGCTTAGATGGACTTGCGGTCCCGAGAGCGGAAGTGGATGCTTCTTTGAGCGGCGAGGCTGGCCATGATAGGTCTAGTAATTCGCCTAAGCCATGATCTGCCGGGATGTCGGTGGCTACAACATCGGAGATGCCACCGCGTTGCTTGAAGAGCGAGATCCAATTTGTGCCCGAGTAGATCCCTTTGACGATCCAATTTGCGAAAACATCGGATGGAGTACTAGACTCTTGCTCCATACGCCGGACAATCTGACATGCTTCGTGATGCAGTTGTGCATCGTCAAGTGCCTCGCCGGTCGCTATGCGCTGAGTGACGAAGCCACGAAGCTGCGCCTCTAGTGGGCACTGTTCGAAGAGATGATCCTTGGCATTGATCCGTAGCGGGAAATGTCTGCTCTCGCGAGAAGATCGAACGGGCTGGAATCTCGCGTGTTCAGTCAGCTCATGTGATGACATCATCAAGTCTCGTAGCCATGAGACTTCGTGAAGATGGTTGGTGTCTGGTCCGTGCATGACCGAAGTAGTTTCGGCTGCGAAGATAATGCGACATGCTTCTAGCTGCATCGCGTCATTGTCCGGTAAGTACCCGTGCTTGTCAAAATACCGCTGGATGAAGAACTCAATTTCGACTTTGAGCAGTTCATATGCGTTTGGTGGAGTACCCCAAGATGGGTCGCTACCTTTCATGGGGATGAGAGTGCCTCGTTCCCAGTCGATGAGATCTGGATGATGTCAGTATGCATAGCCTTCAGTGAGCAGTTCATGAGGATCATACCTGGAGGAATAGCCGTCTCGACCAGCGGTATAACGGACGCATCAAACCCCCAATCACCTTGCCAACTCGCCATCGTAACACCAGACTTGAAGTGATCGGCAAGATGATCAGTTCTCTCAAGCCATGTATTCATGGTGGTACCGCAAAATCCGCATCTTGATCTGACGTCAGGTATAGGCAACATCCAGCGCGCCATCGACCACTCAGAAAACTCGACGCCATGCACCAAGCGCAGATGTTGGACGAGGTGGTCTTTTCGATGGAAGGTGCGTTCCTGTAAGCTCCTCTCCTGGCATGCAGAGTAGTGATGTGCTTCAATATGCTTGTCATCTGGTCGCACCTCGCCGCAGAAGACGCAGCATTGCTCTCCAATCGACTCCTTGGTAGTGCGAGAGCCTTGGAGTGCGCAGATCCATCTCTCCAGCGGTAGATGAAGTGACTTCTCGTGGCGTTGCCAGTCGTACTTAGTCTTGAAGACCTCAGTGCAAAACGTGCATTGGTAGGGCATGCCAATGGGTGCGATTTTCTCCGTATCAAGACGTCGACGTCGCGTGGCCCGCTTCTTCCGCGGTGCGCGACGTACTTTGAGAGATGTTTGCGAGCCTGATGAGCAATGCCCCGAGAATTCACTCGATTGGGAGGTTCTTGCACTGCTTGCCGAAGACATGGCATAAGGCGATTCCCATGGTTGATGATACGCAAAGTCTCCAGCATCTTCATCTTGACACAGTCAGTAAAGTGCTATCAGTGCATAATATGATTGGATGACTCACGTGAAGTAGAAGCCATCGCACGCGCAATGTCGCCAACAGCAGCAGGTTCATGCTCCGGCGGCGATTCCACCCAACGTTGCATAGGGTCTTTATGATTCGACGCCATCCTAACCGCAGGCGTGCCAGGTCTTGGGATGATATCGACCGGAGTAGTGGGCGAGTTCTTTACTTGCGGCGAAGTGGGACGGACACTTTGCACCTTGCCACGCCGACGGGCATTCGCGAACCAATTCGTCAATTGCGCTTTGTTCAACCCCGTACGGTCCTGAAGAGCCATCATCTCGCCTTCACTGGGGTAAGGATGCTTTTGATGAACAGTAAGCCAGTCTTTGAGTGTACGGATGACTTCTCTGGAGAAGCGACTGCCAAGCTTAGGTCTGGATATCGATGCGCTTGGCGTAAACGGCGACGAAGAGGCGGTAGAATGATTCGAAGGGTCCAAAAACGATGGATCCATCATCCAGCTTTCATTGTACTGATTCGGCACCGCATTCGAGGCCCCCAGGGCTTCGGACAAGCCGACGAAGCTGCCATCATCTAAGGCGTGGTCCGAGGCGAACTGGCTATTCTGGAAGGCAAAAAAGGCATCGAGATCAGCTGAACTATCCATATCGATGGTTACTCAAACGTCGCGAAACATGGAGAGAAAGTTTGCGGGGTAGGAGGGTTGGTTCCCTGGGACGCGCTAGATCGTGTTCGTGCTAACCGAAGAAGGGAAAGCGCACGTGTCAAGTACGCCTTACTGACACGCTTACCTGGCCAGAATCCTTCAAGTCACGTCAACCTAGGGCAACGCTGAATGGGTTTGCAGCCTACATCAATATGCCAACGTGCAAAGTAGGTGACCCAACGTCGATGCATGTTCCAGACCTATCTCACACAGTGACAAGATGGAGGGAACGTTATTCCATTCCTCTACTTATTCGATTACTTGGTATCCAAAGAAGCTACTTTCGCTTCCTCATCACATCCGCAAGAAGACTCGCAGTCAGCTAAGGCCTACCACTGATACGTCTCACACTTGACACTCTTGAACCTGTTCTCCACGCTCAAGTCATCAACCCACTGCTCTCCACCCCTAGAATCAATGCTCATGGGCGACTTGTCCTCTCCACCTCCACAGCCAAAGTCGCGGTACCACTTGCAGTATGCGCCACCATACTGGATGATCGAGATCGGGCCCTGATCCGCAGGAGCAAAGTTGGCGCATTGCTGAATAGCGTTGATGGCGTTGTCGGTGCAGAACTGGTAGTGCGCTTGGTGGCAGACTGTTGTTGAGCCTGGGGGCCAGTCGCGCTTGGTGACCTCGTTCGCAGTCGCCTTAGAAGCTTGACACTCCACGCTCGCGACCAGGTTGGTCTTGACCCCAAACGTAGTGTGATCCGTGGGAGAAGATACGTACTGCCACGCTTCGTGCGAGCAGCCGGCTTCGAGGTAATACTTGCACCATGTACCCTTGGCCTGCATGATGAATTGGGACTTGTGGGCGACCTGGGCCGGAAAATCCGTGCATTTATTTTGGGCGTTGATGTACCAGCAGCCGGAGGCAAAGTCTTCGGAGCAGGCGAATACTTCGCCCACTCGGATGACTCTAGGAAGTGTCCATGAAGGTGCCGAGTCCGTGGGGAGAGAATCGCGCTTGGTGATATCGTCGGCGTAGATGGGCCTGTCCACGGCGGTGACCTTTTCGATAGCATGGTCGTGGGGAATGACTTCCAGCTCAGATGTCACACCGGGACCTCCGCACACTACACTCGCGAGATCCTTGAAGAAGGTCCCAATAAATGCAGTCGGATTTCCTGGCGCCGATGTGTGATGGAAAACCTCATCACTATCCTTGCACCCAGGCTTGTTGTAGTACCAACAATACGTCCCCTTAGCCTGCTCGAGGATCATGACGTTGTGGGCGGTGTTCGTAGGGAATTCTAAACAATCGTTGAGTGCATCCATGATCCAGCAGCTATCGGTTTGCTCATAAGAGCAGGTGAATAGATCGCCGACTGGGAGGTCCACGGGGCTATATCCGTCTCGGGGGTATTGACTCTCGGCAATGGTCATGTCGGTAGCTGGATCCGGTGTGCTGCCTGTTGAGGCCGCGGAAGTGATGAGAGCTACATTGGACCGAGAACCTTCCTCTCGCGCAATGATCTCAGCGGGAGGCTGAGTACGCACACAGGTGACATGAGTAAGCCTCTTGCTAATCTCCGAGGGCACGTAATGAACATCCCCACGCCCTTGGCCCGACGCAACAAGGAAGGTAGGACCCTTAGATACATCGCAGCCGTCCTTGTAGAACGAGCAGGAAACATTTCGGGGTACAGCCACAGCGATGAGATCATGCGCAATAGAGTCGCCAAGCGGGATGCACTTCTTGGTGTCTTCATCGTAGATACCAAGCTGGGAAGTGCTGCCGAATAGGAAGGCCATGGCTCCAGGGTCGGCCATCGATGTGTCTCGTGCTTCTCGCGTAATGATAGCAGCTTCAGGCTCAGTACGCATGCACATGAAATGAGTAAGCTGCTTGCCAATGTCTGAAGGCACTTTAGAGGCAGCATCCCCCTTGTTCGAGTGGAGCTGGTACAGAGGACCCTTGGCTACGTCGCAGCTGTTCTCCCAGAACCTGCAGAGGACGTTCTCGTGTACGGCCACGGCAAAAAGATCATTCGCAATGGAGTCGCCAAGTAGGATGCAGGTATTGGCGTCTTCATCTTTAATACCAAACATGGCAGTCTTGCTGAATACCCTGGCGATTTCTGGACCCTCCAAGTGTAAAGTCGTCAGTACTGTGCTGTCGACAATGGGTGTAGTAACCGCCTGCGCATCAACAGTAGGTGTAGTTTCCGCTCGGGCATCGACAACCGGTGTAGTAGCCGCCCAAGCATCGATTTCAGCATCAAGAGTATGCTTCTTCCCGCAAGCGACGTGTGTGATGTCGCGGCCAGTATAACCCGGGATATCCACACTCACGACATTGCTCCAAGGATTCGAAGCGCGGAAAATCGGGAACTTGGCGATATTGCAGGCATTGGTGTAGAACACGCAGAGAATGTTGGGTTCCAGCTGTACTCCGACAACGTCATTAGCCACATGCTTGCTGAGCGCAACGCAATCCGCATCGTTGTCGTCGTAGATGTACAAGTCGGCTGTATCGCTGAGGACTCGGGCCATCTTCGTCTTCTGGGCTGCTGGTTCGAGAGATGAATCATCCGCTCGCGCATTGACGTCGGCATAACCATCTTTCTTTCCGCAAAGGACGTGGGTGATCTTCTTGCCAACATCCCCTGGCACGTCTCGAGTGGTGAATTGCTCCTTATCGGTCGAAACGCTGAAGACGGGGTCTACAGCTAGGGTGCAATCATTGTCGTAGAACACGCAGAGAGTGTGAGCTGCAACAGTTACACTGGTAACACTGTTGGCAACACGATCTCTTAACATAACGCAGGCTCGGCTGTTTTCCCTGAGGATAGCATGACGACTCGTGCTGCTGAAGATTCTCGCAAGGGTTCCCGAATATGCCGTTGTAGCATCCGCTCGTGTCTCGATCGCAGCATGAGTGTCTTTCTTCCCGCAAATGACGTGGGTAATCTGCTTGGAAGCATCTGCTGGCACGTTTCGACTGAAGTACCCCTCCGTGGTCGAAAAGGTGAAGACAGGGTATCCAGCTCGACTGCAAGCGTTGTCGTAGAACACGCAGAGAGTGTTGGCTCCCATTTCTACCTTGGTAACATCGTGGGACATATCGTCGTTGAACCGAACGCAGGCTCTATTCTTGTCGCTGAGAACAGCCATGTTGCTTGTGCTGCTGTAGATCCTCGCTAAGAACTCCTTGGCCATCGTTGTTGCAGAAGTGGCTGTCGGGCTAGCTTCGAGAGATACAGGATCCGCTCGCGCATCGATCTCATTGTGTGGGGCAGTCGAAGGCCCGCAGACAGCGTGGGTGATTTTTTTGCTGACATCCGATGGCACAGGAACTTTGGTATAGGGGGCCTCGCTCTTTGCAGTGAAGAGAGGCTTAATAATAGTAAAGCAGCCGCTCTCGTAGAACCTGCAGAGGGTATGATCGACCAAGGCTGCGTGCGTCAAATGACGAGATACCGTGTCTGGGAGTTTGATGCAGAGCCCAGCGAAGTTCTCTTGATACTCGAAGGCGTAGCCGGTATCGCTGATGAGTCGCGCGATGAGCCCGGACGGTTCCTCGACCGCGAAAGATGGCGCCTCGAGAGCTGTATCCGCCTCTCGAGCTTCGAGCGCAGGAACATCGCTCAGCTGGTGGTCGCCCTTGTAACACCAAACATACTTGAACCTAGTCCCGTACTTCGCATCGATCTTGAAGAGGTGTTGCTTATCCAGAGTTTGAGCG